TATTATATATATATATATATATATATATATATATATNTGATANAANAACACACATATATTATATATATATATATATATATATATATATATATGTATATTTATAATATACATAATATATATATTATAAACATATATATATATATATATATATATTAAAAAAAATCCTATGCAGATCTCTATACAATACTTGATGTGTACTGTCCTCCTGTATTTTGACGGGAACGAGTGGCATGCGGATTCAGGTGTTCATGCACATCACAAAAGTGTGCATGTTTATCGATGCTTGCATTTTCATTCGATACAGGATTAGTTTCATGTGCATGTGGTATGCTATAATATAATTGTATACCCCAGTTTTTTAGTTTAGAACAACCAGTTTGTGTTCATTTCAAACTTGTATTGGACTGAAAGCTTGTACGTTAGCGGAGCGGAATGTTTGTTGGTTTCCTCAGTGCAAACTCAGTACACGAATACCAATAATCAAATAGGTCAGGAAGTGGCGTTTTGCCAGTTGGCTTTGTCAGCAATCATATCGGTGCTTTAATGTAGAACAATGGTTTACCATGCATAAGGGTACTCTGTGTCATGACATTCGTCTGCAAATAATGTGCAATAAAAGGGCCAATATTGCACTTTGTTTTGTCATATTGTCAAGCTTGTTGTTTACGCTGTACACACTCAAGAGATTGGGCACATATTTCTTCCCCATACAAACATCCATGTGAACTTTGAAATCGTAGCAAATCCATTACCTGAGTTTGCCTAAACTGGTAGAAACAGGCGAAACAATCACTATCAGTAAAAGCAAGAGGGATAGTTGTTGATCAATATCGGCGAGAAACAAGGAGAAATGGTTTTGATGGCTCGAATCTGCTTCATGTTGCTCACGGTGATCTGTTCATATTTGTTGGAAGCGATGGCACAATACTCACCTCGTAGTTCACTCTCACGCAAGCAGGGGCGAATAAGACAGTCACAATCAGCGTGAAGCGAGAAGGATTGCTATCAACCAAGTACGGAGGGAATAAGGTACGAACTTTAGAGCACCTTCTTCCCACTGCAGTCGCGCAGATGAAGCTTGAGGGCCGAAAAGGTATCGCAGATAGTTTTCACAGCTTGTGTTTAGACACCGGCCTGAACGTGTATTTTTAGTCATGTTGTCAGAGTGTACAATGCATTTCGCGTCCTATTTTTATTGGCATACAAGTGTATCAGATTACAGTGGATAAGGCTCGCTCGTGTAGACATGCATCTGTTCCTTGGGTTCGGCATCTGTCTATTCCTAGTTGTAAAAATACTGACGAATGCCTGAAAATGAAGAGTTTTCGTATCGAATATCCGTGCCTGACCATTCTAAAAAGGGAATGCCCCCACCTTGTATTGTACTGAAACATGTGTGCATTCATCTGGGTATACATGGACCTGCATAAACACAAATCACTATGTGTAGCACATAGTGGCGGGACAAACAATGGGATGAACGAGATGAGTTTTCTGTTCGTATTTTACCTTATGTGAGTCGATACACAAACGCACGTTAGTGCATATACTCAAAGTATGAGTCAGTATCCATTTTCAGGCAACCACCCGTGAGTAATACTGTCTATCATTCATAGAATCTGGACTCGATTCTCTGTATAAGGTCACTTCGTGGGTCTCGGGGCTCCCGGATCAAATCAGGTGACCGCTATGGCTGCGCATGCAGCAGCAGCCAACGCCGACATTAGGTTCATGTTTATAGCGCCCGAGGGAGACAGCCCCGATAATGCACTAAACCTTGCTTCCGTATTGTCATATCCATACGCCGTCCTGGATACAACGCACAGGTAATACAGTAATGAATCCATATGAAGGTGGATTATGACCCTGTCCCTCAGCCTTAAGTACCAGTTGCAATCTCACAGGTGTGTGGCCACATTACAACGTATAACACCAAATGTGCACAGGCACTTTGAGAAGAAAAGCAACATCTCATGCAAAATTGCTGAATCGCTTACCGTTTCCAGCTTGTTGCTAGCATTCTACAGAGTTGTCAAACTGACTTGGTTTGAAAAAGACAACCTCGTGTGCCCACTTGGCGGAGCGGCTGTTCCAGGCGTCTTTGGCCATATCAATGCCGTGTTGGAGTTGGCTGATCAAATAGAGAGAGGGTATGTCTGCTTTGTATTCTGTCTGAGTAGAAGGATCATGGGCACTTGAGAGAGCTTTGCCGGTGCACATGACGCAGTAGTAAAGTTTAAAATAAGCAGCAATTCATGTACAAGATACTTGGATGACAACCGTACTGGAGACTACAAGGTCGTATTGGTGACGTGCGGCAAGTGTCATGTAGAGAGTCAAGAGTAGCTGTTTCCTCACGTATAGTATCGAAGTCTTGATTCTACCTGCATCTGTACCTGCGCGTATTAATATATAAAGCATAGTCTGGTTCGATATTAGCCTTTCCGAGACTGAGCCTTCCACTCTGGATGCTGGACAGGTACGCACATGACCCTACCGATATATACCTGGCTCTTGGCAGTGGCTGCACGACTGCTGGTTTGATGTGTGGTATCGCCGTCTCCCGAACTCTAGGTATAGATCTTGTGCCATGTAAGGTGGCGAACCGCTCACATACTACGCTTGCTATCTGCTCTGCTTGTTGTGACATCCTTTTCGTACACGCTCGTGTCTGGCGCAATTTGACAGAATTCGACTATTCGTTGTTTTGGTAGAATATCCGAAAAAAACACGGAGATGTAGTGTAAAGAAAGGTGGTGTAGGTCGAATCAGTATTCCAGTTGTCACATCGCCAAACCCTAGGTAATACCCCCCCCCCCTTCCCCTCCCTTAATGCTTCGCTTTGGACCTTTAGTATCAAGCGCACTCAAGCACACTTCTGCACCCTGACAGGCGGCAGAAAGGCTTTCTCGAAGCCAGTTAAGATCCATGCCACAATTATACACCACTTGTTTGCCAAGATTCCTTTTATGGTGAAAAATAAAACAGAGAAGCTGGCCAAGGCTACCCTGCGCGAGTTGAAGCGATTGACTGGTATGTACAAGTGTAGTTTAAACATTCAATTATTTGAAGTATTTGGCGAAGAGGGCTGTAGGCTGTAGTGGCTTGCAGGCAAACACCGCCAGACGAGATTGGTTCGATATGGTGTGAAGTATTATAATTAGTCGGTACGAAGTTCACACCACGTACACTTGAATTATAATATAGTATACATGCACATCCCGATAGTCTTATCTGTGTTGTTAGCACATGTCTGAGCTTCCATATGTATTTCTACACACATACACATGAATACACGAATCCAGGGTTGGATGCCTTACCTGAATTTGTTGAGAATGTACTGCCCTATGTTTATTTTGAGGGGAAGTTTGCTGGCCAGTACGGCTCGCCGACTGATGAAATGCTCATGGCTAAGGTGGTCTTTGAAGACGGCACGCACCATCATAGATCTATGGAAAGGTATGGGCTTCGTTTCAAATCAATGCTAGTAATTGATATTCAAGGAGTACAAAATTTAAAAAAATTCAAGAAGGTTCAGTATTCGTGAAATTAGCATGCTGAAGCATAATAAACGAATATAGAAGCATTGTTTGCAAGCTTGTGGATCCATTACCCGTCTAATACAGAAATGTGGAGGGCGAAAATTCGGACACCACAGACTCGCAACGCAATGAGAAGGTCAGTGCAAACGGCACAACAAAGCCCACCAAACCATGGTACTGTAGCACATTCTCAGGGAAGGGTGCAGCGTTCCTACTATCAAACCTGGAAATTATTGCGGCTGAACAGTCAAACACGCAGCCTTTAATTGCAAGCGTTGTTCAACAGAAGCAAATGTCTAGCGAAACAAAGGCAGACGATAAAATAGCCCCACAATCGTCAACAAAGAGCGCCGGAACGGGAACGAGAAAAATTGCAAAGGGGGATGGGAGCTTTGGTATGTACGACCACGACAGCAATGCGAGCGAGAAAGTTACTGGTTTTGATACAAGAAGTGTGGAACATCTCGACATGAAGAATATCCTATTTTGGTAAGCGCACCTTAGTTGTATTGGCTATGCGTTTATGATTTCATTTTCATATTTATTTGTACTGGGTCAATGTACATGCAATAGTAGAAAATATGCTTCTTGATTCAACATTTACTAACTTAAATATATATATATATATATATACATATATACGTATACATATATATATATATATGTGTGTGTGTATATACATATATATATGTATATACATATATATATATATATATACATATATATATATATATATATATATATGTATGTGTGTGTATATGTTATATATATATACATATATATATATATATATATATGTATGTGTGTGTATATGTATATATATGTATATAGATATATATATATATATATATATGTGTGTGTGTGTGTGTGTGTGTATGCA